GCCAGAAAGGAATAGGATGATATATTCAAAATACTAAAAGACAGAGATTGCCAGCCAAGAATACTCTACCTTGCAATGCTATCCTTCCGAAATGAAGGGGAAATAGTATATTTTTCAGACAAACAAAAACTGTGGGAGTCCACCACCACATGACCATCCTTACAAGAAATTCTCAAGGGACTACTGGGTTTGGTTCCTGAAAAATAACTACCAGTGCCATAAAAACAAAAAAACCCAAAACCTACTAGTATAATGAAAATGGCATTCATGAAGAGAAAACAAACAAGCAAAAAGGGTATCTATAACCCAAGGAACCAACAAACACAGAAAACAAACACTAAATCAGAAAGTAAGGAACAAAAGACACCTAAGACAAACAAACAATAATCAATAAAAGGCTAGGAATAAATCAACACTTTTCAATAACAACTCTTAACGTAAAAGGATTAAATTCCCCAATCAAAAGACACAGACTGGCTGACTGGATTAAGAAGGAGGACCCAACTATATGGTGACTTCAAGAGACCAACCTCACCCATAAAGACGCACATAGACTAAGAGTGAAAGGATGGAAAAACATTTACCATGCAAACAGAAAAGAAAAACGAGCTGGAGTAGCTATTCGTATATCTGATAAAATAAACTTTAAATTAAAACGATCAAAAGAGACAATGAGGGACACTACATATTGATAAAAGGATTGATTTATAAAGAAGACATAACAATCATAAATACATACGCACCCAATGTTGGAGCAGCCATATTCATAAAACAAACTCAATTAGATCTAAAGAAGGAAATAGATACTAATACCATAATAGCAGGGGACCTGAACACCCCACTGTCAATATTGGACAGATCATCTAGGAAAAGAATCAGCAGAGAAACACAAGATCTAAACAATATTCTAGACCAATTGACCTTGGCAGATATCTACAGAACATTCCATCCAACGACCTCAGAATATTAATTCTTCTCCTCAGCACATAGAACATTCTCCAGGATAGATCAAATATTAGGTCACAAATCAACTCTCAAAAAATTCAAAAAAATTAGAATTATACCCTGTATTTTCTCAGACCACAATGCATTAAAATTAGAAATCAATAACAAACGAAATTCTGGAAACTATACAAACACATGGAAATTAAACAGCATTCTACTTAATGACATATGGGTCCTAGAAGAAATCAAGCAGGAAATAAAAAAAATTATTGAAACTAATGAAAACAATGATACATCATACCAAAACCTGTGGGATACTGCAAAAGCAGTACTAAGAAATTTATCACATTAAATGCTTAGTTCAGAAGAATGGAAAGATGGCAAGTGAACAACCT